AAACTCTCGCAAGGATCCTCCTGCCTTAGCCTCCCGAGGTCTGGGATTACAGGCGTGCACCACCCCGCCCAGGACAAGATAAGGCCACAGCTGGGGACTCTGGCTCCAACCCCAATTAACTAAAAGGAAGCTGTAGCTGCAGGCATCTCACTCCTGCTGGGAAGGCCTTCCTGGAGATAACATAGTTTCCCTAAATTAACATAATGTATTACCTGGAGAAGTCCTTAAAGGGATTCCCAAGTCCTGCCCAGATTCCCACATTTTCTTCAGTATTCTCTTCTGTTTGAAAATCTAATAAATAAGGGCCCCCCCACAGAAAAGTTCTTTGTCTTAACCCAGAGAATCTCGAATTCTGTTAGAGGGTTTAGAGCCTCCCAGAGCCCTAAAATCATTTCATTCGTCTCATTTATTTAAGCCATCACCATCCATGCCGTCCACTTGTCCACTCCTTTGGGAGATTGCGGGCCTAATCATACCACAATAACTGAGGGCTGTTAACGCGATACACATCAGAGATGCCCCTGCCCCTCGATATATGTGGGATCTCGGGGTGCACCCTCCTGGGATCCTGTCCTGCTGGCCTCTCTGCCCCCATCCCGCTCCGCCCACAGTTGTTTTTTCACTGCCTCTGAGGTCCACTGGGACGACCTTCAGCCTGTCCATGTCCCTAAGATGAACAAACACTGCAGGCAGCAAATAGCAAACACCCCTCATCCCTCCCTGCGCTGACCTTGGAGCAGGGTCAGAGGACAGAGGTCTCACTGGCTGCGACCTCCCGCTGCCCTCTCGGGTGCCAGCAGTCGGGGACAGATCTGTGCCGGCTGGGCCTGCCATGTGAGAAGGTGGTTCAAGCCCTCCACAGCCCTTGCACCCTCCCTGTACTCCTCTGTAGTGTTTTGTTCTCTTTTCTTTTCTTTTTTTTTTTCTTTTCTCTTGTGACAAGGTCTCACTAGGTAACCCAGGTTGGCCTCAACCTCGCTGAGATCCTCTTGCCTCAGCCTCCCAGGTACTGGAATGACAGGCCTGTGCCACCGTGCCTGGCTTTCACCTGTAAAAAGCGAAGGTCAAAGATGCCCATCTCATAGGGCTATTGTGATCCCTAATGTACACAGCTAGCACAGGGAAGGGAGTGCTGAAGAAAGAACAGCCAACAAGCCAGGGCGGTGTCGCACAAGTAAGCCCTGCAAATCAGGAGGCTGAGGCAGGAGGATGGCAAGTTCAAAGCTGGCCTGGACTTGTCTCAGAATTAAAAAGCGCAAGGGGCCAGAGGTGTATCTCAGTGGTAGAGCACTTTCCCAGCCCTTGTGAGGCTTAGGGTTCTATCCCCAGCACCAAGAAAAGAAAAGGAAAGGAAAGGAAAACCAGCAGGAGGCAGTGAAGGAGCATGTGGAGCCACTGGGTGTTGCAGGTATCCTGGTATCCTTCATCTCCCATAGCCCACAAAGTCCACAGCCCACAAAGGCCACTGGTGGACGAAGGACAGCCCAGGGTGTCAGAGCAGCTTGGCCCAAGCTGCAGTGCCTCAAGGAGGGGACCAGGCTCAGCAGAACTGCTGCTCGTCATGGTGTGGGTTGGTCTTCACTTCTGTTTCTGCTGGGACGTGATCCACTCACCCTAAAACACACCCTCAAGCCACGTTCAGGCGCACAGTTCAGGGCTGCTACATCCCCGCACACTTTTGTACAACCAGTACGCTTTCTGTTCCCAGAACTTTTTCATCATTCCCACACATGGGGATGGTGGCTTTATTCTAGATTTTTTTCCCTTTCATTTCAATTTTATTGATTGATGTTTTTTCTTTGAGACTGGGTCCACTTATGTAGTTCAGGCAGGCCTGGAACTTACAGTGACCCTCCTGCCTCAGCCTCTTGAGTGCTAGGATTACAAGTGTGCACCAGCACACCTGGCTAAAAAATTCATTCTTGAACTGAAATTTAAGTACAGCTGGGCATCTCTTATTGTATCTGGCAACCCTAGACCAAGGAATCCAGCCCTCAGCACCCTGGCAGAGCCACGTGCCCAGGGGCGTGGGAGGGGCCTGTGGACAAAAGGCTCATCTTCCTCCCATCTGGCCCTGAGCCTGGACACGACCTGGACACCGTCCTACTGTGTGCACCTGGAACCTTCCTCCATGGGCCTCCCCTGGCCTGTACAGGTACATGGGGGG